TCAACTCTACTCACCTGCACTCTCCCAATAGTTCAGGAAAGTTTCCCTTGCCCCCCCCCCCCCCCCCCCCCACCCTCACCCCCACATAATTAGTTTGGATTGAATCGGTTTCCAAAACCCTTTCACGCAATGCATTCCAGATGGAAACAACTTGCTGCTTGAAAAGAAATTTCATCTTCTCCCATCTGTTTCTTTCAGCAACTATTTTAAATTGTGCCCTTGCGTTACCGACCGACAAGCCAGTGGCAAAATTTTCTCCTTATTTACTCTGTTTAAGCCCCTCAAATTGGGAATACTTCTATTAACTCAACTCTTAAACTTCTTTGCTCCAGGGAGATTAATGCTTCCATAGCCTCTCCTGATAACTGAAGTTGCTATTTCCTGGTATCATCCTGGTCAATCTCATTTGCATCCTGTGCAATGCCTTGACATCCTTCCTGATGTTTGGAGCCGTGAACCGAAAACAGTACAATAGCTGAGGCTCAACCAATGATTTATATCAGTACGTCAAATATTCCTGACGTTTGCATAATGTACCCCTGTTGATGAAGTTTGGAATCCTGTACGCTTTTTTTGAAAGTGTTTTCTACCTGTCTAACTACCTTCAAACAGGGCCTGCTTTCTTTATCATATCCTGATCGCTGTATAAAAGGCCTCGTATAAATATAACAGTCTGATCTGTCATCAATTCATGCATATTGTGACCGTTCGTGGCGAGTCTCGTGAGGGAGAGAGATCGAAAATTGGTAGCACAAAAAAGACTCACAGAGAGAGGGAGAGAGAGAGTGGGAAATATTTTTCAAACTGAAGAATTGTTTCTAAAACGCCCAGGTTTTATTATTAATATTATTTATTATTGATTGATTATTATTCAGATTTTTATTTTATGTCTCTTATTCAAAATCACCAAAAAGCCTGAAACTAATCCCTGAAAAAAACAATCATGAAATTGTTCATTTCAACCCACGGCTGTTTGTGTGGACGCTGCTGTGCACAATTGGCTGCCGCGTTTCGCCCACAAATATTCAGTCACTACATCTTATCCTCTATTCTGTGAAGCGCTTTGAGACGTCGAGAAGCTGTGATAAGGCACTATATCCAATGCAAAGGTTTATTATTATTAAAGAGAGAGGTCATGGCGACCACTGGTCAGTCACAGTCTCTCTCTGTCCCTCTCTCTCTATGTTGTCACAATCACAGTCTCAGTCTGCGGCACAGACCCGGAACTACAGCTCCCGGCATGCCTCACGGCTCAGTGACCTCTGATGATAGGGCCGGGCCGCGAGGTGCATCCTGGGAGCTGTAGTCAGTGTGAGAGACAGAGACACAGAGACAGACACATGTCCACACAGTCTCTGTCTCTGTGTCTCTGTGTCTGTCTCTCTCACTGACTGAGTTGGGGAATGAGCCCAGCAGAGAGCCCAGATTGAATTACCTCCGGAGTGAGGCCAGTCCAGATTGTGAGGGAATTTGGTGAGAGTGGGAATTGGGTGCAGATGGGAAAGTAGGTGCAGGTTATATATCGAGGGGGAAGTAAGAGGAGATAGATAATGGCCTGGCAGGTGATATGCGAGGAATGTGGTATGTGGGTGTTGATGGAGGGCAACCTGAGCCCAGGTGACTTCACAACAGCAAATGTCTGCAACTGAGGAAGATCAAACTTCGATCAGCTGAGCTGGTGTCTCAGTTGCAGACACTGCGCTTCATCAGGGACAGTGAGCGGTTCCTGCACAGCATGGTGCAGGAGGCCGTCACTCCCCAAGGACTCAGCTCTAGCAGACCATCGCTGCATAGTATCCATGAGAGTAGGGTACTGGAGCTATCGGCAGGTCAGAGTTCAAGAAATGGAACACTCCCAGAGGAGCCCAACACACAGCCACCCTTCATTCATGCTAACAATGATTGGTTGACACTGCGAAGGGGGAAAAAGAGGGTTTCTTCAAGGCAGAGGGCCCTCAACAGAGTACCAGTCACTTATCGGTACTCGCCTTTAGCTATCGAGAGCCTGGAAGCCTCTCGTGAGGACAGCAGTGGACATTCTGTCCAACAGGACAAGGGCATTTTTAGCAAGGGCAATAGAGATGTGATAGGGGATTCAACAGTAAGAGGCACTGACAGGATCTTCTGTAATCAGGATCGTGAAGCTAGGATGGTTTGCTGCCTTCCTGCTGCAAGGCAGTGGACTTCACAGAGCCATGGACAAGATTCTTCGAGGGGAAGGAGAATGCTCAGAAGTCGTGGTCGATGTGGGGTCCCACTATATTCGTAAGAAAAGGGCTGAGATGCTCTAGGACGTGTATCAAAAGCTGGGGAGCAAACTCAATTCAAGATCATCAAATTTGGTGATCTCTGGGTCACTCCCGGTACCTCGGGCAACAAGGCACCACAACGAAAGAATCAGGCGCATGAACAATTGAATTACAGAAGAATTAGGGGAGATCTTATTGAAAAAATATAAGATTCTTAAAGGGCTGGATAAAGTAGACACTGAGGGTCTGTTTCCCTGGTAGGAGAATCTATAGCCAGGGTTCACAGACTTAAAATTAAAAGTCAGCCTTTCAGAAACGATTTGATGAAATATTTCTTCATTCGAAGGGTAGTGTATTTACGGAATTTGTGGAAATCCCCAGAAGGCTGTAGATGCCTCAGAATTCTGTATATATAAATTTGGTTGACAATATTCTGCACAATGATATGTATCAAAAATGGAAGTGATTTTCTCCTTGAGTCCCGGCTGACAACACCATCAATAAAAATTGGACACATATCTCACTGCAATTTGACATCCACAATCACTTCACTGTGAGAATTCACTGTCTCGATACTCTACAAAAGTGGTGTCGAAATGGCGGCACGCGGGCCGCATGTGTCCCGGCGATGAACTGTTTTGGCGAGATACCATTTCCAACCGTCTACCTCCCGCTCCCTCCCTGTTGAAATTCCTTGTGTGGCAGCAGGAGGACCCGGCGGTTGGGAGGTCTCAGTGTGGAGAGTGGAATAATAGGGGCCATTGCTGCAGTGGGTCAGGAAGACGAGCATTTCTCTAATCAATCACATCCTTAGCCACCGCGAACCCTTCCAGCTGCAGATAGTGATTGCCGCGCGGCTGATAACAGCAATACCAAACTCCAGCGTTGCTGGGGTCAACATACTTACAGACTCGAATTGAACTGCCAATATTTAGATGAACAAGACAATGCAATATGACACAGTTGCGTTGTTCAAATTACGTGAAATGTTTATTTGCTGATAAGGTAACTCAGCAAATAACGAAAGATAGAAAGGAAACTGTACAATTCAGCTACTGGTCCAAGTATTTTACAGAATAAAATTCCAATGTTTATTTGCCACATAATTTGCTACAACTCTCGAAGACTCTGACAATGTCTAAAAAATACCAACCTGAAGAGAACACTTGACGTTTTTCCCTTCAAAATTAACCAAAGACCGATACATGATTGAATTCTTATGCTTCTGAAGCTCACCTCGATCACCTCCTCACCCAATAACCCTGCATAAACGACACATCTATGGCTCTTTCACCACTGATCCACATCTCTTGCCCTCTCTCTCTTTTACATTTCCAACCTTCTTAATATATGACTTTGGCCGTTAGTTCAACTTGCCTAATCAAAATCTTCACGGGCAAAACCCTGAATAAAAAAATTATTGAGTAGATTATTCAAATAGGTTTTGATTAGGCAAGTTTTAGGCAATGTTTAAAATAATTTTCGAGTTAAGCAGCAACACGTAATTGCTGCTTGTTGACTTTGGGTGAGCTTAGTTTCAACGGAATCTGGAATAAAATAATGAAAATATCAAAGTATCTGGAGGAACGTTCACAGAGCAACAAGGACACCTCCAAAATCATGGAGCCCCATTCAGCCGTTAACTGCAACTTAATTGACAGTATATTCCGTGAAACCCTTTCAGATGGCGTAGTAATGCTCTACATCGATTACAAGGATTAATTTTATTGCAGCGCACCACTTGAAATCAAAGTCAGGCTATCAGTTGCCTCATTAAATTATGATTCGTTGTCAACGTTTCAAATATTACAACGAGTGGCACACATTTACCTTTACTTAAATAGTTTAAATATGTGTTTAAACGGATAGATCACGAGATATTTGACATCCTTTCTGAACTTAGATTGTGTTAAAGCGTAAATGACGGTGTTTGTGCAGCAACTTAAAACCTTAAGCATGTCTGTCACATGTTGGACAACATACACTGGGTCTCTGTAACTTTGGTAGAAATATTTGTCTAACGTTCGTGATAATATGAAATCTAAAACATACATCAGCCATAACACGATGAAGCTGCCGGATATGGCGAAGAGTAGGATGATGGATTTTCTTCGATTCTCCATCTCTGCATCGTTGCCACTATTACTTTTCTGGTGCAGGAGATTTCTGCGGATTCTGTTGGCGGCTAAAATGTGTCTGACTATCACCACGTTCATCAGCAAAATCAGAAAGAATGGAACAAACGGGGTTATTATTGTGTCAAACCAATGATATACAATCCATGTGGCAGAGGTGTAGTAAGCCTCTTTGTACTGGCAATACCAAGGCACATTGTTCAGTATCTCACTGGGCTCAAATATAAAGTACCAGGGAATGCTGATGAAACAGCTCAGAGAAGATATCACTCCTACAACCACGGCTGCTGTTCTCTCGCTGCAATAACTTGTTTGCAGTTTCGCACAACAGATGGCGACCAGGCGATCAAAGGTGAAAGCCACTGTGAACCAGACTGACATGTCTGTCACCGCCGACTTCAGCACCAATCTGAGTGAACACACGGGAGTGATGTCCAGAAATGTGTAATCGAAATAAAGAGAATGGATTGCGTTCAAAACCACATCGTTGAAGGCGAAAAGGAGATCGGCCACTGCCATGGCCACCAGGTAGAGGGTGATACCTTTTGCGAGCCCACACTTTCCCCGGGACAGGACCACAATGGCCAACAGATTCCCTGTGAGACAAAGTAGCAGCAAACAAACATATTTAACTGCGAGCTGCGTAAATTGATGTTATTTTGCTCAAACTTCATTCACAGAGCAGTGTCCCAAAAACACGCATGGATTGAAGGGTTCAGTCTTTTCAAGAATATTGTGAAGTCATTATTAAGGAATATTGAAGTGATCACACACTACTAACTCTTTTGTCAGGCGACTGTGCTAACAATTGAGCTACAGATATGATTTAACCAATGAACTGCACAATAAAGAAAACCGAATCATATGTAAGATGCTGAACCTCATTCACTCTCTGTCGCCTGTCGAGTTACACATGAAAGATCTCCTCTTTCACTTCCAGAAAATAGAATAAAACTTCTCAAAATATTCTGGATATGTTTCCTCTAAATAAACATTGGAGCTTCAAATATTCGTTACTCTTCTGTGGTTAGAATCATGTCACCATCTGATAGGAATTGGTCAAGCAAATACACTGAATATAATCTGAAAGTTGTGGATCATAATGAACATAAATATGTGTTCCCTCAGATGCGAAAATGAATCTGAACCTCCCTCCTCTTATTTAAGACGACGTTCAAAATTCCTCTGCCTTGTTATCCTTAGAATGCGCATCACGCACAACATAGTACAGACTAAAATCAAAATAAGTAATAACAATAATAATAATCCTTGCATTTGACATAGCGCTTTTCACGGCGGGAGGACGTCCCAAAGCGCTTCACAGAACACACTGCAAAGCGAATTGACTGTATATTTGTGGGCGAACGCGGCAGCCAATTGCGCACAGCAATGTTCCACAAAGAATGTTAGATTGAAAATGACCAATTTATTATTGTTTTGCTTTTTTGGAGGGATTATTATTAGGCGTGTGGAGTAAGGAAACTTGCCCAAGGTTTCGCCCTGTCTGGAATTGAACTCAGGTCTCTCGCTTGGAAAGCCAGTGCTCTAACCAATGAGCTACAGGACTCCACAAAGTGAAGGAATTAATCGTGCTGTTTATGGTCAGACACCGACAAATTCGTGATTCTGCAAAGATTTTCTCCCTGGTCTCAACAGTTCCTTCATTCACAACATCCAACTCATTCAAAACAATTCCAACCAAGTCCACACTGCCACAATCTCCGCACTTCCATCACTCCACAACCCGTCAGGATTGACTGCCTGATTGCCACAATAAACATTCATTTCAAGATTCACAATACATGTACAAACCATTCCTTGTCATGGCGTCTCTCCCTCTCTCAACCTACTGACAGACCTAGCATATCCAGCCTCTGATTCGCTCATCTGCTCAGCATTCCCCCACCTCCAGACATTCTGACAGCCAATGAGTTCTGAAACACTGGACCCTCAATAACTCCATCTCACGCCCTTTTGAGCGACCGTCAGATCAGAACTCAAGATATTCTTCTTGGACTGTGCCTACGGTCACCATTGCAACACGCGTCGTAGCGAGCCGACCCTGAAAGAAGAAGGAACACACTATCAGTCTCACAGCGAAAGTGGAGAGGGTTTTGCAAACGACAATATCTTATCTTTATAGAGACATCAAAAAGGACATCAGCGGAACAGGAGTCACAGCTGGAAGAGAAGAAGCAGATGTGTGTGCCATGCGCAAACTTGTCGTACATCAATAGAAGTAAAATGTGTCTTTAACTAACTACCTGTAATACCAACAGCTGCAAGAATAGGATAATAAACTATCATTATCCGAAAAAGCGTTGGCAGATACTGCCACGGAACGTAGGCTAACGCTCTCAACATTGTCTAACACCAGCGGATAGACTGCCAGTGCTGGACACTCAAAGCTGCCAGTCTTTATATCCCTGAACTGTCTCCACTGGGAATAGGCTATTTGCACAAATGATTGTGAAACATCAATATTTCTCTTCTGGCACGAACTGCTGACTGGATTCCTTGGAGGATGTAAGCAGGATCTCATGGGGGCTGATCCAACTCAAAGGTGACGTGTTGAACAACAGAAAGCTGGAACGAAATCTAATGCGTGTAGTGGTCAGGGTGTGTCTGTATCTGAGTCAGGCCAGTTACATGATGTATTAAATGACTATGATTGTGGTTTGTGATCAGAGCGCATGAATGGCGGCTGAATTCATTGTGACAAAATGGGTTTCATAACCAGGCTCGTGGGTTGGGTAAAAAGAAATGGTTGGTCATGCCCTGGCCCAACATCCACCAAAAAGTATTGTTCTTACCCAGTGAGAGTGAAACCACGATTTTCCCAAACTATGAGAGAGTGGATGCACCTTTTGCGCAATCTCTCTCTGTGCTAAATCTTATCATGTTATTTCATTAGAGAAAACTATGTGATCCGTGTTTCAAAGAATCAACACTACCTGCTTGAAGCTTCTCACTCCCTTGGGTGCATTTTCCACAGATTAACTGTCCGCTAACTGAAACAGTGTTTCTCTAAATTTATTCTGAATTTCGCACCTTCATCTTAGTGAAGACAGAAATCATGTCTCCGCGAAATCATCTTTTTTNGCGGTGTGTACATGGCCAATATACTTAGGCAATCCTCATAGTCCAGGCCCTTCATTCAATCAATCATTTTGGTTGCTAACCTCTATATATAATAGCCGGCGTCATCAGCTCACTTTCCCCTGTGGGGAGACATGCTGTCCATCCTTTGCCTCCTATAGTGTGCCCAGCAATGTCAACGTCAAAATGTCTTGGGTTTTGCAAAAGGGATAGTGGATGGATTGTCTGCCAGCTGTTTCCCTGATTGACCGGCTTTGAAGTTTTTACTATGTCATCTAGAGCCGGGCCCAGTCACTCACTCTATTTTGAATGCCTTGGACTTCAAGAGATTTTCTCTGTCTTCAGACAGATGGGCACCGAACCTCAGGTAACGACAATGAGCCATTGACTACACAGGCCCACATCCTTGGGATTATTCTGGTACATCTCCTCTGCATCCATACCAACACCTAAGTATCTTTCCTAATATGAGAACGTGCACATGTGAAAGCAATGCTTCAGGTGCAATCTATCGAATGATATGCACATACGTGCCGTTGCAAGTTGACTTTCTTTACCTTTTGGTTCTACCTATAAAATCCAGTACACGGTCACCTTTTATATCGACATTTCGACAAACATAGATGGGAAGTATATACAAGGTCACCTTCTCAATTGATTGGGTACAGCCAGCCTCCAAATCCAGTTCCTACTCTGCACCAAGAAAAGCACTGCCCGTTGTCGTCCTACATTGAATATTTGATATTTCGAGCTCAAAAGCACCAGTGGTCCAAATAAAGAACACTGTGGGACAGCACTGCAGACTTCCCTCTTTTCAGGAAATCAAACGTTCAACACCACTCTCTGCTTTCAGTATCCCAGACAATTCTGTTTCCATGCTGACACCTTCCCTTTAAAACCGTTGGCTTCTATTTTGCTCACCAGTGTCTTATGTGGTATTTTCTAATACGCCTTTTGAAAATCAATGACAACACCATTTGCAGAAGCTTCTTCCACCCTTTCTGTTACTTCAGGAAAAAAAACCTTATCGAATTTTTTGGACCGTGTTGGCTGTTCTTTATTAAACCATATTTTTCTAAGTGACAATGAATTTTGTCCCTATAAGATTTTAGTCTCTACAAGTTGCCACACTATGCAGTGATTTTGACTGGTCTATAGTGAAAGGATTTATCCTTCTGCCACTTTGTTGTATGGGAAACTAACACTTGAATTTCTTTCTGCCTCTGGTAGCGCGTGGTGTACAAAACGAATTGAGCAGTTATGCCCAGAGACTCCGTCATTTCCAGCCTTTCTTCCTTTCAGTGAAGTTGGATTCATCCCGTCTCGTCCTAGCGACTTATCTACTCTGAGCATCGACTGATTTTCAGTAACTTGATTTTTTCTTGACCTATCCAATTTCTGTTCCCTCTTATCTAATCCTGTGGCATTGGCTGCATCCTCATCTTCTGTGAACACTGGAGAAACATTTGTCTATTCCTTTGAAGATTGTATTCCCAATGACAATTTCACTCAAACTCTTCTCTGTGTCCAACTGTGCATCAATTTGGTTCGTCTCCTCTCCCTGTGTTGTCATCACCCTGAACGATTTTCAGTACGTTAGACAGGTTTCTGTAAGCCACGTTTCCATGGGAATTCTGGACTGCACGTCCCATCTTCCTACTGCAATCAAAAACTCCCTTTCTGAGCCCACTGTGTCTGTTGGATGGAATCCACCTGAAACGTGTCTAATCAGATGCCCTCATTAGAGCACCATACTAATCGTACCTATGACATTTGTTCCTATGTGGATCACAACAATTGCATCCTTCCACTCCTGCTTCAAATTCTACTCCAACCCTGAACTGAAGTCCTTAACCCTGGCTCCAGGAAAGCAACAGAGCCCATGTGACTCCTGGTTATGTTCGCAGAGAAGAGCATGCGTTCTCCTAATTGTCTTGTCCCCTATCATAACCGCATTTCTTTGTACTTCCATCACATGTATGGCCTGGTGCACAGAGATGCTTGGGCCAGCTTTCCCACCATTCTTAAGGGCTTCCATGTCAACACACGTTGAAGTACCTCATAACTGTTCGACAAGTTTAAATCCCAAGGCTCCATCACAACGCTCTGACCGGTCCCGTTACCTGCCGCACTGATAATCATACTATCCTGTCCCTGTCCATTAACAAGATCTGTACATTTACTGAATCTCATAGGAGTGACCGCTTTCTCCGTCATATTATCCAGGAAGTTCTCGTTCTCCCTGATGCAGCGCAGTGTCTGCAACTTGCATTCCAGCTCAGCTGCTATAAGCTGGAGCTACTTCAGTTGCAGACACTTGCTGCAGATGAAGTCGCCCGAGAACAGAATATCTTCCATCAACTCCCACATATTGCTTTCGTAGTCCTGTCGCTCAGTGGTTAGAGCACTCGCTTTGCAAGTGAGAGACCTGAGTTCAATTCCAGGCAGAGGGCGAAACCTTGGGCAAGTTTCCTTACTCCACACGCCTAATAATAATCCCTCCAGAAACCAAAAACAATAATAAATTGGTCGTTTTCAATCTACGACTGTTTGTGGGACATTGCTGTGCGCAATTGGCTGCCGCTTTCGCCCACAAATATACAGTCAATTCACTTTACAGTGTGTTCTGTGAAGCGCTTTGGGATGTCCTCCTGACATGAAAAGCGCTATATCAAAAGCAAGGATTATTATTAGTATTATTATTTCCTCGCACAACACCTGCGAGGCCATTCTTCTCCTTCTCTCTCTCTCACACTCTGTATTGTAGGATTTTTTCTTTAAAATTAGTTTTTTCATAAAAAATTACACAATATATATTTTACACCTTGGCAACAAGCAGAACTTCGCAACTAATTCTGCACCTAATTCCCACTCTCACCCAATTCCTTCTCACTCTGGTTTCGCCTCAATCGCAGCTCACACCTGTCGGCTCTCAGCTCGAGTGAGGCTCTCGCAGTTCTCACCTTTATTTACCCCAACTTGTTATGTTTTCTTGATGTTAGCAGCAATTGATACCTAGTTGGTATTAGAAATCTGCGGACTGCTATTTGCTATTGTTAAGTTAATTTGATTAATTTTATATGAAAAACTGACCACTGCTGCTCCCTGTTAAGCCTTACCACAAACCCAATTTATCAATTCTATCAGCAGTTTAAAGTTAGTACACATACATATGGATAATAAAACAGTCAGTACATGTACAGACACTAAAACAAGTAAGTCCCACACTCACCCAATTCCTTCTCACACTGGTGTCGACTCACTCCGGTCACGGCTCACAACGGTCTGCTCTAAGTTCGTGTCTTCATGTGAGTTGTAACGGTGGAGGTCGCACATAAACGTTACCGTTCAGAGAGTGGTGATGGAGCCTTGGGATTGAACCCTGTAGAACAGGTATGAGGTAATGGCAACCTGTGTTGACATCGAAGCCTTTAAGCAGGGTGCGAAAGCTGGCCCCACATGCGCACAGCAGCCACGTGTGTTGGGTACTACAGGAGATTGTGGTACGCCAGCACATGGTCCGGAGAAAATGGGACAATCTGCCGTACTTGTGTCTCAAATATGAGTTGCTTTTGGAACAAGTGAATATATATGCTGTTCCTCAAAGTTGTACAGTTCCTGTTTATCTCAAAGCAGCTTCTCTTGTTGGCTGCGAACATTACCGTCTTCTTGAAGGCTTACCTACAGTAATAGAATCTTTCAAGGCATCACTGAACTTTCGTCTGCTGGGAAGCAGCAAATCTCTTCCACATTGAAGACATTAACACAATCTCTCCCGCGTGCCCTCTCTTGTATGTTTGGAATACAGTTCCCTAGTCGTTACGTATATTGGGCTCCCGCCTGTGTGTGTTAATTGGGGGTGGTGTATTAGTTGTGTGTTGGGTATCAATGGGGTGTGGGTTCTTAATATGTTATGGTTTATTAATGGGTTGTGCTATCAATGGGGTTGCAGTACTAATGGG